AAAGTCATAGTTATTTCCTTTGAGCAGGAGCCCAAATCCAATAAGAAAGCCCAGTTACAGCCGGACAGCCTAATAGTCAATTCACAATTTCTACATGCCACAATATGCCATGCAGAAGCTAAGGGGCATTTGTGGAAGCAAAATATCTCAGGTTCTAGGTCAAATAATTAAGCCAATCAATTTGGGAATTATTTGACCTAATTGGGAGTTATCTGATTTAATTATGATTTATTTGATTCTTACCTTAATTAGAGATTTGATTTAAATCAAATCCCTATTAAATCCCTAATTACACCAATCTCGTCAAATTAGGGAAGAATAATTCTTTTTTATCTATGAAAGTATTTTTCTGAAACCCTAGCCTCTAAGGCCCTTATAAATAGATGGCTACGCACAAGGATTGAGGTACGTCTAAATTCCTCTTTGAAACTCTGCAGAAATTCCCTCTCACAAACCCTAGCCGCCATAATTCTCTTTCTCTCACACACGGCTCCAACCACCCGGTTTACACCATACATACATCTCTGTACCATTTTTAGCTATTATTTTCTCTACGAATCAATTGAACTAACTTAGGCATCGGAGGGCCTTTGGCCAACACCCCTTGGGTGTGATCCTCTCATTCCGATTTATTTTGCAGGGAGAAAGAGATGACGAAGAGGAAGGAGGGATCTTAGACGAATATTCCCGTGGGACAAAAATCGCTCCCACAGTAGTAATCGCTTTAATATCCTCATCTCAAAATATCTTATCAAGCAAAAGATATTCCATTCACCAGTTGGGGTTAACAAATCTGAAACTTTTGCATTCATCGACAAGCCCTCATTGATCATTGGTTTAAAAGTAAAAGGCTTTGGCACCCATCGATCTCGAAAAAACTCAAAGATTGCTCACTTCCAACCCTCCATACCAAGCCTTCCTCAAGAACTTGCCTTCGTCACATTATAGAACGCCATACCAGAGAAAGAAAATTCACCAATATTCCAGCATGCAAGAAATCTGTTTCGGGGATATATCTGCCTTTCAGTATTGGGGCTACCAAAGGATTAGGATTTTCAAATATTCCTGCTTCGCCACCATGGCTTTGTTAAAGGCTTTAAAATTTTTGAAACCCAACCCGCCAAAACATTTAGGCTTACATTGTTTTCTCCAACTTTGCTAGTGTATGCTTTTATTTCCTGCTTTAACCTACCAAAATCTCGCAACCATGGCCGATAAATCATGGCATAAGGATTGCGGCAATTGAAAGACCCCCATAGTATAGGTTGGAAGAGCTTGGGCAACAGCTCTAATCAAAACATCCTTCCCTGCTACCGAAAACAATTTTGCATTCCCCCCCTCCAAATTAAGTCGACTCCAAAGCATATCACGCATGTTTACACCATAATCAACCGAGCATATCCAGCCTCAAAACAACTAGCACCAAGGCAGACACGCATTCTCCCTTGACGAAGGAAGACATCTAAGGTGCCAGACACCTGCCGAAGCTCCTGACTGCCGAAGCTCACAAATTGCCAAACCTAATTTTCATGACACGTGTCACAACCACAACGACTTGCACAAAGTCCCACATCAAAAATCTACACAAACCTCCAACTTTCACTTCCCTATAAATAGGGAACAATACCCTAGTAAAAAGGAGTAATTACTTTCTTACTTTTTACTGTTACTCTGTCAAAGTTACTATTCTTAGCTGACTTAAGTATCGGAGAGCCTTCGCCCGGCACCACAGTGGTGTCCGAAGCTTAACGATTGCTTCTCCTACTTTGTCTTCTGCAGGCTAGCCCCTTACCGAAAGTTCACACATTCTCTACTGCTAAAGACAAACCCTTTTTCTCTAAGTTGACCCTCTCTGAAAAAGAGCATCAACAGTTTGGCACCATCTGTGGGAAACGATACTTGAATCCCATTTTCCTATACCAGTCCAGCTAGCTCCTTCTCCTATCTGGCCCCGTCGCTTTTTCTTCACTCCACATTCAACTATGCCTACCAAGGATAGCCACAGGACTCCGCACTATACCCCCCATAGGGGTACCTCCCAGAGGAAACCTTCAACAAATGCCAATCTCTAGGCAGAGTTGGAGACCTCCGCGCCAGTGTCACCAAGATATCCGAGAAATATGACCATTTTCATGCAAGAACGTTGAGCTCGAGCATGACTACAGCACGCTGAAGCATAACTGGGAGATGAATCAGGCCAAGGGCTCCCAATGCGGCCTTACCCAGGAACTTGAGCGTACTCAGCCAAACCAGCCAGTGCCCTCTCACCATAGTGCCCCAATCCAACCTAGGCCCAGCAAGGGTGAAGGCCCCCTCCATCCGGAGATGACCAAGTCGAGGCTCCTTCGTATTTCCTCGCCGAGGGACAGGCCCCATGAACCAGTGAAGGTCTATAGGGATTGCAGGGACCATATCTTGGACCGTCAGCCAAACCCTATTCCTATCCCCGTTAATCTCCAAGACCCAAAGGTGACACACCTAGCCCTTCACCGAAACCCACCCACCTACCAGTTGGAGAAGGTGCAGGTGACTCGGAGAACTAGGGGCAGTACTATTCAGAAGACTATGAGTCTTATCACACCGAGGCATTTGAAGAGTGGGAACCTTCCCCAGCCCCTGCTCATCCACACATCAAGCCTTCAGCACCCGAACCCCTCCCTCATGCAGACCCGGCCATGAGGCTCCTCTTCGAGAAGATTCGGCGTTTGGAGAGCGAACAACAGCGCAACCACTAACCCCTCTGGGCAAAGCCACAACTTGGGCCTTTTACCGAACGCATCCTTAATTACCACCAGGAGAAGGACATCCAACCACTCCGCATCGCCTTCTACACTGGCACGGAGGATCCTCTCACCCATATACATTCTTTCCAGTCTGCCCTAGGGTGCAAGGGCCTCACTGATGAAGGCACGTGCCTCATCTTCCCTTCCACTCTTAGTGGCGCGGCCCTGAATTGGTTATACAAGTTGAACCCCTGCACCATCAACTCATTTGACAGTCTGAAGCAGGCCTTCCAAGATCATTTCATGATCTAGACTAATCGCCTTTACTCCGCGGATGACCTGTACATACTTCAGCAGGGTGAGGACGAGCCACTCTGGAAGTATGCAGCTCGGTTCAGCCATGAATACTCCCGCTGCCTAGAGACTGATGATCGCACTGCCTTCGGCGGCCTCAAGAGTGGCCTCCGAGAGTCCAACTTCCAGTACTTGGTGCACAACAACCCCTGGAACACATATGTTGAGCTGATGAAGCAGGCAGTAGTTCACGCCAAAGCTAAGTACTTCAACTCCAAGCGTGGCCTAGCCACCCCAGCGTGTAATCCTTTTGTTGATCCTCCACCTGCTTCAGCACTCATCCCAGCCCCACCTCAACATTCTGCCCCCACACCAAGCACCCAAGGTGCCCAGCACCCTAAGAGGAAGGATAGCTACAAATATACCTTCAGCAATAACAAGTGGGGTAAACATGGCAACCACCACCAGTCTAGTGGAAGCAACCCCCCCAGGACAAATGACCGGGCCCCACTTCCATTCTCACCCAAACCTAGATTCGAGGTCTTCACCACCCTGAACACTACCTACGAGAATGTCCTGGTGCACGAGGCACTTATCATAACCCAGCTTCCTCCCAGGAGACCAGGCAGCAAGCCTATGCCTAACACAGGTGTCTTCTGTCGTTTTCATCAGTTCGGTGGCTACGATACTGAATCTTGTGTTGCCTTGCGTAACATTATTGAAGGACTTATTCGTGAGAAAAAGCTGGATAAATACGTGCACAACCTCTCACCCTCTCCTAACCCTCACCAACAGCAGATCAACATGATCTCAACCATCAGTGGTGGCCCTACCATGGCTGGAATCTCCAGCAACTCCATCAAACATTATGTCCGCTCCACCTATACGCATCAGGTCTTCAACACTGAGCAAGGACGCCTGCCGAAGACACAAAAATCAGGCTGGGCCCCCATTACCTTCTGCGAGGAGGAGAAGCGTGATGTTATCCTCCCTCATGATGACCCAATCATTATCCGCGCCGACATTTCTAACTTAGACATTGGGCGCATCTTGGTAAACACTGGCAGCTCGGTCAGTGTGATGTTTGCTGATGCTTTCAACGAGCTTCAGGTCCCATTTCATTTGCTCGACCGAAGCGTCACACCCTTGGTGAGCTTTTCGGGTGATATGGTCCAGCCCATTGGGAGTATTCATCTCTCTATCTTTATTGGAGCAGCACCTCAGCGGGCGACAATCACCACTCCCTTCCTCATTATTGACTGCCCCACAGCCTATAACGTCATCCTTTAGCGCCCTGCCATGGCCTAAATTAAGGTTTTCATTTCCACACATATGTTACTGCTGAAATTCCCTACGCTCCATGACACAGGCACGGTGCTCGAAAACCAACTTAGCGCCTGAAGCTGCTATGCTTTAGCAGTCAAGTCCACCAATTGCCAACATCGGGGTGAGGCCCTTGTAGTAACTTAGGCCCCAGCCCCTCCTCGTGCTGGCACCGAACGACCTGAAGACCCTAGGGAGGACTCTACCACCCAACAGGCCGAACCTGTGGAAGACCTTGAGTTGGCCACTCTCCATGATGACCTCCCAGATCAACAGGTCAGGATCGGCACCTTCCTCCGACCAGAGTTTCGCTCTGACCTCGTCGCCTTCCTCCGACTCAACTTTGAAGTCTTTGATTGGTCTTACAACGATATGCCTGGCATATCACTTAACGTCATCTCCCATAGGCTAAGCATTAACCCTGCCGTCCGACCCGTTCGGCAGAAGCGTCGTGCTTATGACCCAGAGCGGTATGAGACCATGAAAGCGGAGGTGGATAAGCTGAGCACCATTGGATTCATTAAGGAGGTTGACTATCTCATCTGGCTAGCCAATGTGGTAATGGTACGTAAACCAAGGAAAGGCTAGCGCATGTGCGTGGGCTACACCAATCTCAATTGGGCTTGCCCGAAGGATAGTTTCCCCTTACCCCGCATTACCATGTCCTCCTCAGCTTGGAGAAGGATAGTTTCCCCTTACCCCGCTGGCCACGTCCTCCTCAGCTTCATGGATGCTTACTCAGGGTACAATCAGATCTTCATGTATCCTGAGGACCAAACCCATACATCCTTCATCACTGACTGTGGCCTTTACTGCTACAAAGTCATGCCCTTCGGTCTTAAGAACGCCGGAGCTACGTATCAGCCTCTGGTGAACAGCATCTTCGCTCCACTAATTGGCAACACCATGAAGGTTTATGTTGATGACATGCTGGTCAAGAGTCGCACTGCTGACCAGCACATCCCCTACCTCTCTCCCATGTTCACCATTTTGAAGCAGTATAGGATGAGGCTCAACCCCACCAAGTGTGCATTTGGGGTGGCTTCCGGCAAATTCCTTGGCTTCATGATCATCCAAAGAGGTATTGAGGCCAACCCGGATAAGATCCGGGGCATCTTAGACATGACGATACCCAAGACGGTCAAGGATATTCAGAGCCTTACAGGGCGCGTCGCAGCCCTGACTAGATTTATCTCTAAGGCTACTGATCGTTGCACCCCATTCTTCAAGGCACTTAAGGGCAGCAAACGCAGTATAACCTGGATTGCCGAGTGTGACCAGGCCTTCGGCGAGCTCAAGGCATACATGAGTCGAGCCCCTTTATTGTGAACCCCTAATCCTAGGGACGTCCTCACCATCTACCTCTCCATCTTGGCCACAACGATTAGCTCAGTACTCATTCGATCACACAAAGATGTTGAGCATTCAGTGCACTATGTGAGCAAAGGATTGCAAGATGCGGAGGTTCGGTATTCGGACATTGAGAAACTTGTTTTCGCCCTGGTAGTCTCGGTTAGACACCTCAGACCATACTTTCAAGCTCATACCATCCATGTCTTAACCAACCAACTGCTCAGGCAAGTGTTGCAGAAGCCAGAGACTTCTGGGAGGTTAGTTAAATGGGCCATTGAATTTGGTGAATTTGATATTCACTACAAACCCCGCCCAACTACAAAGGGCCAAGCTGTTGCTGACTTCATATCAGAATTTACAGAACCCCAAGCTTCGACCGCTACCCAGATCATAACGGAACCCAATCTTCTTTTAGGCAAGCTCCACGTCGCCAGCAATGGCAACCTCGACCTGACCCAGCCCTTGTGGACCTTATATGTGGTGGCTCATCCAATGCCCAAGGATGTGGGGCCGGCTTCGTTCTTATCTCCCCAGACAAGGTTGCCTTTAAGTACGCCCTCCGCTTCAAATTCCACGCCTCCAACAATGAGGTCGAATACAAAGCACTCATAGCTGGACTTCGACTAGCCAAAGAGATGGGCGCCAAGCAAATTCAGATATTTAGCGACTCACAGCTCGTTGTCCATCAAGTCAACCAGGACTTCACAGCCAAGGACATCTCTATGATAGCCTACCTCTAGCATACCCGCCACTTGCTTGCAACATTCAACGCTCATCTTATAAGTCAGGTACTACGCTCTGAGAACAGCCATACTGATGTTTTGGCCAGGCTAGCCTCGTTCTTGGAGCAGGGCATAGGTCTCAACATCCACATTGAGTTCTTGGATCAGCCCAGCACACAGGCACCACTCATCTGTACCATTGATCACAGCCTTGCATGGATGGACCCCATCATTCAGTTCTTGCAAAACCAAACAATACCTGCCGATCCTACTGAGGCGCAACGTGTTCGCTATCGCTTCGCTCGATACCTAATCATCAATGACGCCCTATACAAGCGTGGCTTCAGCCTCCCCTACCTTCGGTGCCTGACCCCAGAGGAAGGTAACAATGTCCTAAGGGAGATTCATGAGGGCATCTGCGGCAACCACTCAGGCACTAGCTCCCTAGCACACAAGGCCATTCGGCAGGGATAATTTTGGTCATCACTTCATACGGATGCGTAGGTCTTCAACCAGAAGTGTGATAAGTGTCAGTGATTTGCCAACATCCCACAACTTCCAGCTGAACCACTAACAGCCATGGTCAGCCCTTGGCCATTTTCTCAATGAGGACTTGACCTCATTGGACCTATGCCTAAGGGAAAGGGCCAAGTCAAGTATGCCACTGTGGCTGTAGACTATTTCACCAAGTGGGCTGAAGCTGAAGCCTTAGCCACTATCACTACAGCCCGCATTGAAACTTTTGTTTGGCAAAATATCGTATGTAGCTTCGGCATCCATAACACCATCGTCACAGACAATGGCCGGTAATTTGACAATGCCAAGTTCAAACAATTGTGTTCCAACCTCAAGATACGTTTTTGCTTAGCCTCCCTAGCCCATCCTCAGTCTAATGGCCAGGTGGGAGCCGTGAACAAGATCATCAAGAAAAATCTAAAGACCAAGCTTGACAAAGCTAAGGATTACTGGCCAGAGCTACTCACAGAAGTTCTCTGGTCATACCGCACCACCTTCCATACCTCAACAGGAGAAACACCGTTCTATCTTTCCTTTGGTACTGAAGTCGTGGCACCAGTAGAGATTGGCCAGCCCATATACCGAACCTCCACTTATGCGGCTGAAGCCAATGATGAACAGTTAGCACTGAACCTCGACTTCATTGACGGGCTTCGTGCCCAATCCAACATGAGCAACGTCGCGTACAAACAGCGCATCGCCAAGTACTATAACTCTAGGGTCAAACCCTGTGCTTTCAAGATTGGGGACTAGGTCATACGCAAGGTTTCCTTAGCCACAAAAAATCCTACTGAAAGCACCTTAGGTCTTACATGGGAAGGTCCTTATGAGGTTACCAAAGTCTGCCGACCCGGCGCGTATCACCTTCGCGATCCCAAAGGCAAGACCTTGCCACATCCTTGGAACGCTGATCATCTCAAGTACTTCTATAAGTAAACATACCTAGACCCTAGAACATTATGTTTTCTTATACTTTGGTTTTGAGCCATGACTCTGTACCTTCTGCCCTTCGGCACTTATCTAATGAAACGCCGGACCCTGGCTATTTCTCATCAATCACAATGATTATCATTTTTGCTAGCACAATTGATATCAAATGACAACAAGTTTAATATTATAGCAAATCAAAATAACCTTGCCCTAGGTAGAAGGCATCGCCTTCAAGACTCGGTAGAAGGGGCATCCATAGTAGCTGGCTCTAGCTCTGGTTCTGGCTCTAGAGTGGCATCGATGCTAGGACTAGGTGAAGGAGGCTCGCCACTCGTATCAAAGTTAATCTTCACCGAAAGGTTGAACCTCGCCAATCTCTGCTCCCAACGCAGCTGCATAGCCACCATCTGATCCATGATATAGCTCATCAACTCCTCTGAACCCGAAAATGACTCGATTGCTTCGCCTTAGGTAGTAGCTATCTCTTCGGCCTTCTTCTGCTCCACTTCGACCCGGGCAGCAGCCACCTCCTCGGCCCTTGACTGCTTCAGCTCCTTTACCTCTCTGGCTAGCGCCGCCTTCTGCAACAGCAGGGCGTTCTTCTCTCAGACAGCATCTTGCGCCTCCGCTATCTTGTCCATGGCAATCTCGTTGCGCCTCTTCAACCTCTGGATCTCCTTATCTGCCTTGGTCATGTTCACGTACATCTCATCATAGGCCTACAACATAAGGCATCATCAGTAAAAGATAAACTAGAATGATAATAACAAATTCATAAAGCAAGACAACTTACATAGGCATAGGTAAGAAACGTCTTCTGGGCCTGATCTGCATAGGAAGTGGCCGGCGTCCTGGCCAGAACCTTTGGGTCACACTTCACGCCTTCCAGGAAGAAGTTCACCAGGGAAACCTCCTGCCGATGCATGGCCAAATTCACCTCCTTCTTCTGCCAAGGCAGCCTGGAGAAGTTCATCTTCTCCCACCCCTTGGCATAAACGTCCTCCATGCCAAAGGGGAGCTTTGGCGGTGCCTGCAGGTTAAAGGGAGGAAGCCTTGGCCCTGTTCCCATCACATTCCGGTGAGCTTCCTCCAGCGTTTTCTTCTTTCCCAGCACATCGGCAACCAGGCCTTCATCATGATCTCAAGGACGCTTCCCAGTCGCTTGCCTGGCCACCCCCTTCCCAGCCATCTGCACCCGAGACTCCTTAAGTCGTTTCTGCATCTCGGCGTCATCTAGGTCCACAGCTACTTTCGTGCTTCCCTTTATGATACCTGTCACTGCACATCAAACGCTAAGTTAGTCACAAATACAAAGAGGAAATTGGAAGGCAAATAACAAAGATGACCCAAGTACTTACTCCCTTGCAAAAGGCCGGACTCAAACAAATTCTTCTGGGTGACTAGGTTTTTGCACTCACACTCGACCTCTGACAACAGTGATCTCACCTCTCAACTTCCTCTTCTTGGTCCTTGGAGATTAGCCCTCACTTCATTGAACCTGCACCAAAGGTTAGATACAACTTAGCCATTTACACTTACAAAAGTAAAAATAGAGACCCAAGAGTCCAAACCAGTACAAACACTACAAAACAATAATCAGTCTTCAAGGATGGGGCTAAGGACCTACAGACTAGAAGTGGGTTGGAACGTGTCTGGAGAGGGTATTCCCTGGCGGACACTCCCAATTACCATAAGTCAGACACCACCTGTTTCTCCAAGACTTCTGAGTAGAGGGCTTGTGTCCAATGAAGTAACCCCTCTCCTTTGCCTTTTGGCAATTGGCTTGTACCCAGCCAAAACTTCCCTGTTGCTTGGAGATCGAGTAGAGATACATAAACTGCTCAAATGTCGACTCCCCCAACCCAACCAACCACCAAGCTATGTACATCCTATGAAAAAGAAGCCAAAAGTTGGGATTATACTGCCCCGACGCATACCCCAACTTGGCTAACATCATCTGCACCCAAGGATGCAACAGTAGTCTGAAGCCATGCTGATACATATCTGTAAAAATCATCATTGAACCCTCCGGAGGGTATCTGACCACATCAGCTGCAGTGGGTAACCTCAAACTCACATAGGGTGGAACACTATAATTTGTCTGAAGCTCAGCCAACTGTACTTCCGTAAGAATATTTCGCCTAGCCAAAGGGACACCAACCTGGATGTCCACCCCCTCAGAAGCTGAAGCCACGGCTATACCCACAGACCCTAATGGTGATGCCTGGTTGCTCGAGCCCACATTTGGTGAACGAGGCATAGCTAGAACCCGATCCGCTACGGCCTTTAACACTTTATAATTCCTCTACATCTCATTATATGACTCTGACCCAGAGTTTACTGGTGGCTCACTCCTCTCACTCTTATGAACTACCATCCTAGCTTCTACAAGCCCTTCTACCAAACCCTCTGTCTGGGAACTCTCATCTTCAAAACAAACATATTCACTGGCCTCTTCACTCTCAGTATCATCCCCACCAAAGGCAGGGGGTCAGGACTTTCTTTATCAGAACTCTTAGACATCTACAACATGCAGAAACAAGAAAAAGGAACTAATGCACATGCAAAGAGGATTCAAACACACGAACACAAAAATGGATGGCATCTACATTCTCTTTGATCTAAAGGCATACATTTAACAAGTTCATCTCAATGTTCACGGTGTTCATCATGTTCATACCAATGTTCATGGTGTTCATCCTAATCTCCAACATGTTCATACCAAAAGCAGAATTTCAATTCAAGAGTTCAAGAGAAATGAGGTCTAACCTTGTTTGCACCACCACGGAGTGACGCCGGAAATCACTTTGGCCACAAGCAGCACCACCAAGACCTCGCCGGAAATCTTTTTTCTCCTTCTCACTTTCTGGATATTTCTCTCAAAATTCTCCAAGTGTGAAGCTTTCGTAACCCCAAACTCCTATTTATAAAGTCTCAAGGGTACACTAGAAACCCTAGCACCCTTTCACCTTCCCTCCCGAATCCCTTGTACCTGCAACAATTTGAAATTCAACTTTCATATTTTCAAAAAAAAAAAAAAAAAACCAAAAGGAACTTGGGAAGGCCTTGCTGAACGGCAAGGCCTATGAAAAATCATTTTGGTCTCAGAGAGTACCTAGTTGCCGAAAGAACGGCTCAAGTACCTTGCCGAATTTGCAAAGGTCCAGCTCCGCGAAATTTCACAATAGCCCAGCTCCTCCTCAAAGTCAACCAAATCTATCATCAGACTTGCCTAGCTGAAACAACAAACAAAACGAGACATGCCCTTGCCGAACGGCAAGGGCCATGCAAACAAAAAAAAGGCCTCATGGAGGCGGACCTCACCAATAGCCCAAATACCAAAATTGCCTAGCCTCCTATCCCAGGTGCCCACTTGCCGAAGGGCTTGGCCACCAAATCCCAGTTTCAGCTCACGCATGGAAAGGCCCAGCCCACGGGTCCACAAAACCCTACACCAAATGGCCAACCCATGAAGTCCAACACCCAGGCCCAGCCTCTTGTTTAACGGGACAACCTCGAACCCAGCTCAGAATCCTAACTTACAGAAGGCCTAAAGCATGCAACACATTTTATACATCGAATTGAATGTTCAAAAAGGTCCTTGCCGAACGGCAAGGACCATGTAAATGAAGTGGGTGACACAAAATTTTTCACCGGGCCCAAAGCTCACATACCGAAGCTTTGTTGACTCGGGTTCCTCGCAGAATTTATCCTCTTGCCGTTCAGCAAGGGTCACAAAAACAATGCATACGTGCAAAGTTATGAAACCTCACCAGCTGCCAAGACTTGCCGAAGTGCCTCCTCTCCCTGGCGAAAATAGCTCAGCCCCTTTAATGAAATTCCAAGCTCTAATCCTTCTACACTTGCTGTACATCACAAATCAACACATCGAAGTCATGAAATTCCACTCGGACTGGCCTTGTCGAACGGCAAGGCCCATTGACATATTTTGAGGCTCACGAAAACTCACAAAAACACCAAGCCTTACCGAGTTGAGGTTTGGACACTCACGAAAATATCTTGCTGAAGCTGGACGTCCCCAAGGGTGTCGAAAGCAACCTAAATCTCCCTTGCCGAACGACTGAAAAGCCCAGCTTCCTAAGCCTAAGTACTTACTGCTGCAGTCACAAAAACCCTTCAACCCACCCTTGCCGAACGACAAGGGTTTGGCAAAGACTAGGGGGACAACTCTCGAGCTCTGAGGTGTACCGAATCAAATCTGCCCTTGCCAAATTGGTTGGTTCACGAGGCTCACGTAGGAGGAAAACCCCGACACACCAAGATGGCCAAACTCGATCCTTGCCAAACGGCAAGGCTCGAACTAAAACCTTGAGACGAGCAAAGCGATCCCACTCAAGCTCAGACTCGATTCTCTGACATGGGGACCTTGCCGATTGCCCGAAGTACTGCCTTGACGAAGTTGGGATATGCCCACACCGGGGATATGCTGGCGCTCAAACTTTCTACCAAGGGAAGTGCCAAACGGCAGGTTCTATAAAAACTGAGGGACTTACACCCCTCCCTCAAACCCCAAGCAAGAACCAAGGGCCCGGCTCCACATGCCTTATTGAGGACTAGCTCTTGAGCCCAACTCCAAGCCATGCTCGGTCTGCCTGGGCCATTTTTCCTCATTTCAGCCCTTTTTGCCGAAAACTTGGATACCCAGTACCAATTACAACCCTTTGCCGAAGCCCACCTAGGGCCTAGCCCTTGCAAACTGATTAGCCCAAGCCACCACATGTAAAGGGCTCACAAATTTTTCCAAAGCCCATGCCACATGGCCATTCAAAAAAAAAAGAAAAAAAAAGGGTCATTGCCGAGCA